CATTCTGGACTTCTCCATCATCGTCATCAGTGTCCTGACAGGCATGGCCCTGAGACCCTTCCGTTAGGGACACCGAGACAAAATGTGTTTTGCCCAGTGTCTGCCATGATGCTCAACACCAGCTCCATCCTCATCCTCAGCCCCAATCCAAATCCTATCTCCCAACCCATCCCAATAAGAAATATCACATCCACCTAACCCCTTCTCCAGACCCAACACCAGCCTCCACTTCACCTTCCATCTCTATCACCAACAAATCTCAAACTCATCCACCTCCCCATCCCCAACCCAATTCCCATTCGATCTTTTCTCCAATATTTAAGTCACCCCCACCCCTTTACAAATCTCAACACCCAGCTGCAACCCCATCTCTATCACCTGTGAACCTCGCTCTCGAACTCAACCTAACCTGCTTCCAACTCTGTCCTCTTACCAGTCTCCAGTCCTTCCTTATTTCCAGCCCCACCTTAGCACCAGCCTCAACCTCAGCCTCCATTCTTAGCACTCAGACTTCAGCCTCTACCCAGAACTCCACTCCATTTCCAGTTCCAGCCCCAACTCAACTCCTGTCTCCCCACCACCACCAGCTCTGTGAGTTTGTTCAAGCTACTTGATCTTTCTAAGCCACAGTCTTCTCTTCTGTAGCATGGGGAAAAATTCCCTACCACGTGGAGATGTCACAAGGACTGAGTTAGAAAATGTCAGTACTCGGTAATAGCTATTGTGCATGTCCTGATCTTCCTGCTCCCACCCAAATAACTCAAAATTTATATTCTGATTAGAGTAGTTCAGTTTTCCACTTGCATGCCAAACCACACTTTTAAGAAAAGGAAGCAGTGGGGAGCACTTTAATTTGGAAATGAAGGATGTTGTCTTTGCTTGTGGTAACTGACCTCAACTTTCAGTTGCATCAAGAGAACATTTTTAGAGAATGATAGTAAGGCCAAGAGGGGAGACCACGCAACTTCCTACTTCCTTGCTAGCAAATGTTATTTGTACAGTTCCTCTATTAGTTTTTTCCGATTGTTTAAAAATAAAGTATGTAGGGTGGAAAACACTCAGTTTTATGTCCTCTAAACTGGGACATTTTTCTTTTTTTAATATTTTATTTTTTTAATTTTTAGAGAGAGTGGAAAGGAGGGAGAAAGAGATGGAGAGAAACATCAATGTGTGGTTGTCTCTCATGCGCCCCCTACTGGGGACCTGACTGGGAATCGAACCGGTGACCCTTTAGTTCGCAGGCTGGCACTCAATCCACTGAGCCACACCAGCCAGGGCTAAACTAGGACATTTTTCTATAAGAAAATTATTTCTGCCTATTCTCCCTTTTAATTAAGTGGAAAATGCTTCCTATATTTTTTCCAATAACATAAATTAAAAAATTACCCAGTACTCCACCCACTACCTAAAAAAATTATTTTTACTTTTCATTAATTAGTTTTAATTCATTTTATTTCAAGATAGTGAACTATATCCAGAATGACAGAGTTCCTTTTCTACTACCTCAAAAGACCCAAATTAAAGGCCCAATGTAAGGATAACAATCAATCTCAATCCTCGAGGGCTCATTGTGTGCCAGGAGATGTGCCAATCTCAATAACTCTTCATGGCAGCCAAGGAGGTGGTTCCTGGGCTTATGCCCACCTTATGCATGAAGGGAAGGAGGCTCAGAGAGATGGAGTGGTGCCCTGGCTGGTGTGACTCAGTAGACTGAGTGATTGAGTGCTGGCCTGTGAACCAAGGAGTCACTGGTTCGATTCCCAGTCAGGGTACATGCCTGGGTTTCAGACCAGGTCCCCAGTAGGAGGTGTGAGAGAGGCAAACACACATGGATGTTTCTCTCCCTTTCTCCCTCCCTTCCCCTCTCTCTAAATAAATAAAATCTTTGAGAGATAGATAGATAGATAGAGAGAGAGAGAGAGAGAGAGAGAGAGAGAGATGGAGCACCTGCTCTGAGGCGGGAGACAGATGCAGAACAAGAGCTCAAGAGCTCCAGACAGTCAGCCCCAAAGTCTGTGGTTTTCAGACCACCACTGCCTGCTGAAAGACCAAGATTTGTACTTCCAGTGTCTCCCACCATGACATGGATGGGAACTGTTATCCTCCTTTCGAGCAGAGGTACAGGGAGGCGAAAGCAAGTGGGAGAAGCATGAGCAAGAGCCAGGCAGCCACACAGCTGTGGGCAGCGGGGCTTCACACACCTGCTGCCCAGCCTCCTAACACCTGTGCTCATGCAGGGACCAGCATTATATTGGGTGTCCTGTTCTACCTGATGCAGGCCCATGAGTTCCTGCAAGAAGGCATGACCTACAGGCTGGGGCGCAGCTTCTACCTGGCGTGGATGGGCATCTTCTTCTTCCTGATGACCGGTCTGGGCTGGGATGGGGTTGGGTGGGGGCATGGTTCCAGGATACAGATGGGGGCCGGGTGGATGAGAATGGGGTTGGGTTTGGGTGAGAACAGGGACTGGGGGCAGGGCAGGGTTTGGGTTAGGTTTGGGTTCGAAGATGGGGGTGGGGGAAGGTGTAGGGATGGGCCCAGGGACAGGGTAGTGGGTGAGGTGGGATTGGATTTGGACATGGGTTAAGGACAGTGCAGGGAGTGGGGCTTGGGGACAGGATAGGGGGTGTGATTGGGTTTGGGGAGAAGACTGCAGTCAAGGTTGGGCTGGCAAGCTCTACACTTCAGCCCTCTGCTTTCTTCCCCTCCCCCCACCCTCCAGGTTTCTTTTCCTTCCTGAACTACATTAACTTCTGGTCCATCCTGGCACTCCAGGCCATCTGGACTTAGGACTCGGGAACGACCGTACTTCCGGCCTGCTCGCCCACACGGCTCCCTGCCAAGCTCCTGACCACCCTGCTGGCTGGCCCCTCCACCCACCAAGACTCTTGTCCTTTTTCAGCCCCCTCGGAACCTCCCCCATTCAGATTACTAATCAGAATTTTTAAATCTATATTTTTGCCCAGAAAATCCTTTTAGCTCAGTACCTCAAAAGTGTGCATGGAGCTGCCATCCTTCCCTGGGGCCATCCCTCAGGCCCTCTAGAGTAGAAGGATGGAACTCAGGGGTAGAGTTGAGGGAAGGGACGCAAGAGAGAGAGACTTGATGCACAAGGTCAGCAAAGAATTGGGCCAATGGTTCCTGGCATACAGCTAGTGCTCAATCAATGTTCATTGAATAGCTGATTCTCCCCAAGGCCTTTGGGCTTCATCCTTTACTTTAAATTTTTTTTTAATTTATTGATTTTAGAGAGAGAGAGGACGGGAGGGAGAGAGAGAGAGAGATTTGTTGTTTCGTTTCTTTATGCATTCATTGGTTGCTTCTTGTATGCCCTGATCAGGAATCGAACCTTTGACCTCGGCATATTGGAATGACACTCTAACCAACTGAGCTACCCAGACAGGGTTCAAATTTGTTCTTTTTTAACACAGACTGAGCTGTAACTATGTGACAGACCCTGAATCTATAGCAATGATCAAACTGACCCAAATCCTTGTTTTTTTGGAATTGACATTTCAACTGGGAGGGAAAAAAAGTATATATATACTTTTTGTATAATATAATTAATATAATTTTAATTAATGTAATATAAATATATATGTAAACAAACAAAGACTTAGGCATGTTAGAGGACCTGTGCAATGAAGAGAAATAAAGGTAAGGGAGACCAGTCTGGGAAGGAGGGGTTCTGTTACATAGAGCAAAGGTATGGGGCTCTCTGCGAAGGTGACATTTGAGCAGAATCATGATGGAGGAGACGAAGAGAGCATGGGGTCAGACTGGGGAAAAGAGTTCCAGGCAGAGGGAACAGCGAATGCAAAGGCCCAAATGTCCTTGGCAGGTTCCTAACAGACCAGGGAACCCAACGTGCTGGTGTAGCCTGAGCAAGGGGGAGAGAGGAAGGAGACAAACGCAGAGAGGAGACGGGGACGGCGCTGGCGGGGGCGGGGGGGGGGGTCACTCTCGGCCTTGTGGCCACAGTGAGAACTTTGCTTTACTCTGCGAGAGGACAGAGTAGGAAATGCCTCGCTCTCCTAAGAGAGGAGCCTGCGTCTCTTCCTTTCACTTCAGACTACAGACTTCCCGGGAGGAGTCTGCCAACTAGAAAGAAGAAAAAAACCCAAATGACCCGGAGACCCAGCTAAAGAAAACGTGTTCTATTCATACAAGGGAATACAAGTGTGTGTGTGTGTGTGTGTGTGTGTGTGTGCGCGTGCGCGCGCGCACCTGTGTGTAGCTATAAAGAATCCACATCAAATTAGTGACAGTGGCGACCTCTGGTGAGTGGGTTTGGTATACCTAAGTTTCATGGTTTTTTATCTTTGGAAAAAACTGTTTGCAGTGATGTCTGTTGAAAGGCGCCTGAGATCTCGAACCCTACCAAGAATCCAAGCCCCCAGGTCTTTGACGATCTAAACCGGGAAATGAGCCCCAAACTCCTGTGCAGCCTCAGCCTCAGGGGTCCTGTTCTCAGCGCCTCCTCCCACGGACCCAGGAGTCCAGACCCCCAGCCTCCTCCCCCTTCCCCAGAACCAAAGTCTAACAATCCCATCCCGACGTCCCAGCTCAACCTTTAACTCTGCGCCACGCGGGCCATTTCCCAGAACTCCGCCTCCGTCAATCTCAGCTCTGGCCCCACCTCGGACTCTGCGTGTGGGTTGGACTTCGTCTGGGTCAGCCCCGCCCCTTCAGCCACAGGTGTCACGCTGGCAATTCCCCCTGCTTCCCTTTCTGGCCCCGCCCACACCCGGGGTCCTTCCTCTTCGCGGTCCCCCTCAGGGGACATCCACAGATTTGCCTGACGCTCCTGACAAGACACCGGGCAGCGACATTTCCTTGCTTGTTTTTCTCCGCCTCTAGATACAACGTCTTACGCCCTGGTCAGGAAGATTCTAATGAGAGAGACACTGTCCCGTCCCCAAGCAACAAAGCGGGGTTTCCGGCACTGGCGGGTACACTAGATGCCTCGGGGCGGAGTCCGGGCTGGCCGTGGTGGGGGCCTTGCGAGCGCGCGCGCTATAAGAAAGGACACGAGGCAACCCTCATATACTTGGAAGAAAGTGAAGGTTGGGTGAGGTTTCATTGAGTTTCTGGTTTCTTCTCACGGCTTTGGGGCCTGGGCCGCCCGTGTAATGCGGTGCCCGGGGCTGCGACGGGGAGGTCTTGTTGCCTCTTGGTTGGGATCACGGCCTTCGTAGTGGCCCTGCGCGCGCTCGGAGGTGAGCCCGGGGATTCCCCCGCGGAGCGGGCGACGGCGTCTGCGTCTGCAGCGGGTGGTGGCTCTTTGGGGGGTGTTCACAGCGGGGAGGACTCTTGCCCCCGGAGCCAACGGGGGCTTCCGGGTCTAGCCCTTTGTCTGCATCGCAAACGGGCTGCGCTGTGTCTGCGGCCCACTTCGCAGGGACGCGCCATCTTGTCCATCTTTTTCGGTGGGTGGGGAGGGGAGCCCGTGTGACAGCGCGTTCTGAGATTTTTCCACCCTGTGCTAGATACACGTGCTTCCTTTAATCCCAGGAGGCTGGCAGTTTTTGCAACTTTGACCAAAGACTCTGGGGTCCTTGGCCGGGGAGGAGGTTAGGATCCCAGGGTTCACTAAGGGAAAAGTGGGAGTGTGGTCTCTAAGTGAATTCCTGGTTGGTTTCTGAGAAGCAGATAGGAGTGCTCTTAGGAGAAAGTAAACGAGGCCTGTGTTCACCTTCAGGAATCATTTTGACACAGTCACTCCACATAGTTTATTAAATGTTAGTGCTGGGCTAATCGGGCCCTAAGGTCTCAGACTTCTGGTCTCCTGTCTGCTGAGCAGTGCCACGCCCTGGCCACGGCTCGCAGCCTGCGGGCAGCGCCTGATCTTCCATCTCCCTGCGGGAACCCAGCCAGAGCTCCCTCGAGCTGAGTTTCTTAACAGTGGTAAAGTCACCATGTCTGCATTGCTTCTGCTTGGTGTTTTGAAAGTAAATTTTTTATTTCATCCAAAAGAGTTACCACTTATGTGCCTAAAATAACATTTTCTACTTAATGAAGATGCCATTATCACCCTTAATGTTTCCCGGTCTGTAAATGCTGTTAGCATTGTCTCTGTCCCTGAAGGTGAGTGGCCTCAGGGCCTGGTCTCGGGCAAGCTGGGGCTCCCATGATGTTCAGCACTGGGCTCTGATCACCTGTGAGGACACAGTGCCCCCCAGGACCTTTGACACCTGGGGTTCTGAGGAGCCCTGGTTTGGGTGTTCTCTGGATGCACAGACTGCTTTCTCCGCCCACCCTCACCAAGTCCTTCCTGTGTTACAGGTTTCTCTCTTCAAGTGTCCAGAGCCGCCCACCACCACCCTGTCTGGGTAAGAACCCTTGCTCCCATTCCCTGACCCACCCAGGTCTAAAATCACCCACATTTTGGGTGACTTCACATATCCTTGGGACCTAATTTATATGCCAACCATCGTGTTCAGTATTTACATACAAAACCCAGCTCTGCTGTTTGTGGGTTTGAAGGTGTCAGTCAAGAGACTGTTCCTGAGCCTCAGTTTCTGTGTCTGTAGAGCAGACACTGCGTGTCAGGAACCAGACAAGTCTGTCCTCTCACAGCTGGCGGGAGGGGGGCACAGAGGGTTGAATCACGTGACATACACAGGCTCTGAAAGGGAGAAATATACATGTATTTGGAGTGGGAGGCTAACCAGAAGTCCAATATTCAGACTTAGCAGAAGAGACAGAATGGCTCCCAGCTTTATCTCTGTCAGTGTGGTGGGGTTGACTGGATGCAGTGAATCTTTCAGCCAAGCTGAGACCGCATCTGAGTCAAATGCACAAAAATAAATACAGTTCTTAAAGCTCCCTTGATTGACACAAGTAGCTATTGTTACAGGGACGCAATGTATCTGGCACATGTTTCACAAGTGTTTCAAAGACCCAAGTCATAAAATGAGCCTGGATACATGTTAAGAGGCACGTGTGTTCTCAGCTCTACCCCTTGGGTGTCGGCAACAGCGGAACACCAGCTGGCTGCCGTGAAATCGGACAGAAAGTGTTCTCCGGGTTCTCAGCGGCCCTCCAGGGAAGAGAAATTGCTCTCCGTGGTGAGCTCAGGTTCTGGGGCTCTAATTGTCTTTCTGGTGGGCTGGCACTCTTCACCCAGGCATCTCTTCAGGGCTCTGCACATGGGGACTTTCTGGGGAAAAGTGGAGGGCAAAGGTGCCCACTGGCCGGGGGGAGGGGAAAAAACAATGTCCAGGGCAGGCTGGGGAAGAGGGTCGTGGAATGTGTACAGATTTCTAAGGCAGCCTAGTCCGACAGGCGCTCTGTTCTGTGTTGTCCAGTCCACTGGCCGTGTATGGCTCTTGAGTACCTGCAGTGTGGCTAGTGCCCCTGGGAACTGCACTTTTTGACTTTATGTAAATTTGAATACTGTCTTTGTCTTTCGGACAATGCCTTCCTACCCGAGCCTTGGGTTTAAGTGTTTTCTGTCTGCTAAAGAGTAGCTCACACCACCTTTTGTAACTCACCAGCTCCTCCCTGGCTCCCAGGAGGTTCTGGTGAAGCGGGTTCCCCAAGTTAGAGAGCAAGGAAGCGCGATGCAGGACTCTTCCAGAGCTAGAGGCTTCCGAGGTGCCGTGCGGCCTTACGGGGCCGCCTGGGGGCTGAGCCACGGGAGGCGCCCCCTTTGTCTCACTGGGTTCTTGTCTGCGGGGCAAATATGTTCATTTTAAGCGCTGGGGCTTAGGGCAGCTGCTGCGGGTCACACAAGAAGTGACACCCGGAGTGAAGCCACTGAGAGGTGGCCGTGGGGATGTGTGGTACCAGAAAGCAGCAGGCTATGGGGGTTCCCTCTTTGCAGCTCAGGGGCCAACTGTTGGTCATCTTTCCTGCCTGGATCTCTGAGTTCTTGTCTGTGTCATCTCCTTGGCACTCTGGGCAAGGGTGCTGGGACCTGGGTGAGGGCGGGGATTGGGGCGCTGGGGCCCCCATGATGTCCAGCACTGGGCTCTGACCTTCCCTGAGGACATGGTGCCCCCTGGGACCTTTGACACCCAGGGGTCTGAGGGGCCCCAGTTCTGGGGAGGGGCGGCTGGGGGCGTGGTTGCGCCGAACCCCTCTCACCTCCTCATGCCTCCCCGCCCTTCCTGCAGGTAGTTCCTCCAGGAGTGGAAGGGCCCGTCTGTCCCTCGGTAAGAGCGGGACCGGCTTCCCGGTCTGTACTTGGAATGTGTGCGCTGTGGTGGTGGTGGTGTGACGGCAAATGCTGAGAAGGTCGGGCCGAGCCGTGCAGTTGGTGGGGGGAGTGAGGGAAGTGTACAAAGGAGGGGCTGGGGCATCTCAGGGAGACATTCTGTGTCGGGGTCCCAAAAGGGCTGAGCTTGGGGCCCCCGTGATGTCCAGCACTGGGCGCTGACCTCCCATGAGGACACTGTGCCCCCCGGGACCTTTGACACCCGGGGGTCTGAGGGGCACCAGCTCTGGGCGGGTGTTGGGGGCTATACCTGTTTCCCCCACCTGACAACAGCTCCTGTGGCGGCGTCCCTTGGGCTGCCTGCTGTTCCCTCCAGGGCAGCCATGGCCATGACCATGGCCACAAGAGCGCTGGCGCCCACCGAGGTGGGGTTGGGGGACGACTACAAGTACACTGAGCTCCTGGCCATCTCGCAGCGCTTCAAACAGAGCCCCAATGAGCCCATGACCACCTGGATCCTGCGTGTGTACGACCAAGGTGGTTCAGCCCTGGCCCTGACCGCCCAGGAGCTGACACTGCTGGGCACCCTGACCAGTGATGCTGTCTTCAACTACCACTGCAAGGGCCTGCAGGGCAGCTGCAAGATGCTGCTCACCTGGCTGCTGCAGGCCTGGCGCCAGCGCTGGAAGTCCTTCCTGCACTTCGAGGGCGCCGAGCTGCCCTTCCGGCCCTGGGGCACCATGGAGGAGGGCATCCAGCTGATTCGAGAGCTGGGCATGCTGGCCTGGATCTACCACGAGCCCACCTCGCCCCCTACACCCGAGGACTTGCCCTTCACGCACCACCTGCAGCGGCACCTGCTGATGGCTGCACCCCCTGAGCTGCGGGTCACGCTGGTCAGTGTGCTGGTCAAGGGCATGACAGTGCTGGGGGCGGTGATGCAGATCCAGGCCATCGCCGACATCGGCCTGCTCTGGCGCCACAATCAGCCGGGCCGCGCCAAGCTCGTGCTGGGACCCAACCCAACTCGCAAGGACCTCCTGTGCTGGCTCCTGAGCCACGGCGTGCCCAAGGAGAAGGTGTACAAACAGCCCACCAGGGTCCTCCTGGAGCTGTACGTCAAAGAGGCTAAGGGCTGCCAGAGCCATCTGGCCTACGTGCTGGGGGAGGAGCAGCCTGAGCCCTACTCGGACCAGGCCTGTGGCGAGGAACAGTCCATGTGCCCTGACTAGGAGCCCGGGAAGGGGGCCCTATGCTGGGGAGCCAGCAGGGCGGGGAGCTGAGTCCTCGGAGGCATGATGCGAAGCCCTGAAGCATCCCTGAGGTGGACTGAAGGGCCTCCCACCTGCTCTTGAACTTCTGGGGGCAGGTGACCCCCACATAGTTTTTGAGGAGCCCAGAAGGATGTGTCCTGGCCCCTAGCCATGCCATAGTGTCACCGGCCAGAGCCAGTGGCAGGAAGCAAGCTGGCTGGTGCACAGTGACTCCCTGAAGACCCCAGCAGCCATACATTACAGCCCAAGTGGTATGATGGGTGGGCACCCACCCCACGGGCCCACAACATGAAGTTTGTGCCCATTTTCTTAAGGGCTTTTTGTGTATTTGTTTTTAATGCATTGTTTTTACTTAATACTTTAAGCATATATGCACTTTGGAACCCTCTTTCCTCTTGTCACAGTTTTTCTCTTAACACTATTTTTTGTAGCCCTGGCTGGTGTGGCTCACTGGTTGAGTGCTGACCTGTGAACCAAAAGGTCAGCGGTTTGATTCCCACTTGGCACATGGCTGGGTTGCAGGCCAGGTCCCCAGTGGGGGCCATGCAAGAGGTGACCGATTGACATATCTCACATCGATGCATTTCCCTCCCTTTTCCCCTCCCTAAAAATAAACAAAATCTCTTGTAAAAAACACTTATTCTATAATGTTTTTCCCTTCTGAAGCAGACTTGCTCTGCATGCTTGGGGCAGTGACGGCCAGGTCCACCTTAGCTGGCTTCTCCAGCAGTGCTTGTGACCTCTGCTCAAGCATCTGGGTCCTGTGTGAGGACAGACTGCAGCCCCCCCTGCAAAAGTGAACCCAGAACTCGCCTCCAGGGGCAGAGATGAGGGTCTGCACAACAGCGGGCGGTGGGGGGGGGGAGGTGGCCTGCAGGAGCCACTCAGCAGCAGGGCAGGGTCACCTGCCAGAGCTGGCTGGGCCCTCCCTGGACCTCAGTAAGAAGCTGGGTGCCTGCCCAGGACCCAGAAGGACATGGCATTCTGTGGCATGGCTGTTCCATACCTCCAGAAACAGTGATGGGTGGGTGTCTGGGTGCTCCTGATGAGGCTACCTTTAGGGCCCAGGGCACAGCCCCCTTCCCTCAATGCTGGGAACTGGGTGGAGCCCCAGCCTTTACCTCAGTCCTGGGGGACCTGGACCCTGGCGTTCCCAGGAGAGGCTGGGAAGGTCCTGGCAGCTGGAAGTGACTTACAGCCACAGTCCGCCCCTCCTCTGATCCTCCAACGACCACTTGGAATGGGCACCATGTGATCGAGGAGTGCCCACTGCACACCAGGCTGCCCCCCCCCACCCTGCAGTGCTCTAATTTGGGGTGTTCACACATTTGCCTGGTGGGGCCACACGTGGAGGGCAAGGACACACCAGGAGGAGACCTCCCCAGTCTCAGGAGCCCGACCCCGCCCTTGGGTAGGGTGGGCGGGGCCTCCCAGCAGCCAGGAAGGTTGAACACAGTGCTGGCCCGGAGCCCCCCACCGGGCCTGCGGTGTTGCTCCCATGTGTGCGGGGCTGCCCAGCTACGGAGATGTGGCCAGTGTGACTGGGACCCGCACTGAGCATTTTACTTAAACGGCCAAGTGCATTGCTGAGAGATGGGTACCAGCTGCACCTCTGCCAGTCCCCAGAGGTCCATCTCAGAGGCCAGGCAGTCTGACGGCTTTGAGTCCTGGCTCTGCCAGACGGGCTGGGGGCCCTGAGAGGCCAGTCCTTGCCCAGAGTCACACAGCCTCAGGGGCAGTGCTGACCGCCCAGCCTTGGGGCCGGCTCAGCTTCCCACTCTCCCTGCACAAGGCAGCCCCGACCTGCACCCCAGGAGCAGAGGGTGTGGCTGGTGCCTCTCAGCTCCAGGGCACTGGGTCTGGCGGTGCGGGGTCCACGGGGGGGCTCCCAGAGCAGCCACAGCTTTGCCAGGTGTCATGGGCCTGTGGGCCCCTCATGTCACACGTGCCACGCCTGCAAGAAACAGGCACCCCATGTCCCCACCCACTGCCCTCACGCACGTGGGAACGCATAAATGTGCTCACACTGGCACCTCCGCACATGCCAACATGGGAGCACATGCCTGCCACAGACATACATGGACATGCCCAGACACAGCGACACAGTCTCCCACGCGCATATGTTAAAAGTGCAGAAACATTCACGCCGGTGTCTACTTTCAGACCACACGCGTGTGTGTGCACATGCACACGGATGTGCACACGGATGCACACACGTGCACACTCCCCCAGAACCGCTCTCGGCTTCCAGGCCCACGAGCCCTCGGCGCCCCCCACGCGCGCAGGAGTACAGAGTAAGTCACGGGAGTCAGCGCAGCGGGTGAGCAGACGTGTTGGGGTGCAGAGGCAGCGGTGGGAACGGGGTGTCCGGTTTCGCGGCTCACACGGGGTCTCCCCAGGCCCGCAGGCAGCCGGGTCTCCAGGCCAGCAGGCCCAGCCCCAGGCTGAGCGCCGCCAGCACGGCCACAGCCCCAGCCAGCAGGGGCACCACGGCAGCTGCGGGGAGAAGGCGGGGGCGTCAGTCGAGGGACCCTACCCCTCCTGCCCCCACCCCGACGCCAAGACCTCACCCGTGGGGGCGGCAGGCTCGTGGGAGCTGTGGCAGGGGACCCCGCGAGCCGGAGGCCGGGCTGGGGCGGTCAGCTGGCGGAAGCGGCCCAGCGGGCAGGGCACTGGGCACCCGGGGAGGCCGAGGCTCAGGGGCGCACCGGCGGAGTCGTTGCGGTAGAACAGGGAGACCGTGACATTCCTGCGGGGAGACAGGAGGCGGCGGGCGCCTGCTCACCTCCCTGACCCCGACCTTCAGTCCAGGGAAGCGCATCCGGAAGGAGAACGGGGCTCCCGACGGCCGCCGGTCCAGCTCCGCGCAGCGGCGCCCCAGGCCCGCTCCCCATCCCTCCTCCCGCCCGAGCTGTCCCACCTGCGCAGTCCCAGGGCCCCCGCTCCTCACCCCTCGTCTCCGTCCTGGTCCCCGAGGTGCCTCCGGAACTCGAAGCCGAGGCAGGCTGCGTAGGGCGGGGTGTGGCCGTCGTAGAGGCCCAGAGCGCCCTGGAGGGCCAGCAGGGTGCTGTCGTGCTGCCGGCGGATCGGAGCTGAGCCGGTTCCTCGCCCGGTGCCCTCCTTCCCCCCAGCTCCAGCCTCGCGCATCCCGAAGCCTGCCCCGAGATGCGCCCCCCACCCCCAACCGGCTCCCCCTGGAGGCAGTCCGGCCAGTTACAGGTAATTGTTCAATAAAGATTGGTCAAACGCGCGTAAAAGAGATTGGACAGCCCCATGAAACGGCCGGTCCTTCCTGAAGAGCTAAACTCTTTCTCTTGGAACGCCACCTCCTCCCTCCTTGCAGGCGCTACCTTCTAGTGGCGTATGGTCCAAGGGAATGGTTTGCAGATATGCGACCCAAACCAGTGGGCTGAGGGTCCGGCGAGACCGTGGCTCTTCCTCACCCAAACCGCCAGGCCCCGCATCCCTGCGCCCACCTGGCCCTGGCTGCCTCCCTTCCCGAAGACTCACAGCTGAGTACATAACCAACTTGAGAGGCAGCCCCAGGCGCTGGACCCGAGAGAAGTTAGCCAGGATGGCGTCCAGCAGGATCCCTGAGGGTGCAAAACCAGGGTGCTGAGAACCCCCAGAGGGAGGCACCCTGGCCTCATGGCCTCCCAGCCTCCCAGCCCCACACCTCACCCCCTGTCAGCTGGGCCTTCTCTGCCGCCCGGGGCGGGCCCACGTGGGCCCCGATATCCAAAGCAGAGATCCGGGCCAGTGTCCGCAGGACGTCCGGGGAGGCCCAGGTTGGGAGGGACAGACCGTGGGCTCGCTGGGGAGAGACATGGAGGGAGGACGTCACCGGGATGTCCTGTCCTCCCAAGTCTGTGCTCTTCTCCACTCCCTGCGATCCTCTCTCCACCCCCGCCCCCATCGGAACCCCTCATGGGCTAGGAATGGTCAGCAAGCTGTGGCTTGGGCCATTATTATCAGGAATCGCCATCATTGCCAGCCCAGAAGCCCTTATCTGAACCTCAGGGCCCGGAGGTGTTTCAGGATTCAGACGTTCGGGATTTTGGACTGGTCAGGTGGTGCCGAGACCACACACCTCGTAACTCCCAGTGGGGCCCGGGCAGCCCTTAGTCTCACACATTGCTAGTCCCACTGCGCAAAGGGACAGTCCCCCGCAGCGAGAGGACCAAGCCTATGAGGAGCATCGCGCGCTCAGCTCAGCTCCTGCTGCCTGGGTTCCGGCCAGGGCGTTTCTCGGGCAAAGGAACCTCGAGGCAGAAACTGCAAATGGGTAACCTTCCCAGCCCAGGTGCTGGCCTTGCCCTGTTCTAAGCTCATTGAGGGGATTAACCTGTTTTAATCTTCTCAACTACCCCAGGTAGCGTTCGTCCCGGGGTCACCAGTCCCATCCTGCACACGGGGAAACTGAGGCACTAAGGGTCAAGGGACTTGCCTGAGGGGAACGTGGGTATTGAGCAGCAAAGCTGGGGTTTGAGTCCAGGTGCCCTTACACCCCCTGGCTGAGTGAGGGGTGGGGCAGAGTCTGACCTGGCACATCAGGGTGTCCAGAACCTTCCACGCCCTGCGGAGTGGCTCCCCGACCAACGACAGCCCCGTGCAGTTCTCCAGGTGAGTCAGGAAGTCCTGGACGGACCAGGCCAGGTAAAGGAAAGGAACTGGACCTCCCCAGCCCTTCTCTGCCTGGAGCCACCGCCCTGCTCACCGTCCAGCCCTCCAGGGCCATCTGGTACTCGGCAGCCTCTGTGGCCTCGCGCAGCAGCTCGCGGTATCGGGGACAGCTGCGCGTGGGGAACCTCAGCAGCTGGAGGAAACTGAGGCTCAGAGAGGACAGCAGCCTGGCCGGGGGTGGGGGAGCTGGGGCTGGGTGGCCCTGGCTCTGGCTGTGCAGCCTGGAGACGGTGGCTCACCTGTCCAGAGAACTCTGCCCCCGGGGACAGTCTTGCTGCTCTGGCCCTCTCCTCGGGGCCTCTGGCCCTCTCCATCCCTCCCGCCCCCTGGCCTTGTCCAGGCCCCTGACCTTATCCTCAGTGGCGGGCACTGTGTGCACAGGGATGGGCCTCCAGGCGGCCTCGGGGCGCCCCGGGGCAGCCTCAGGGAAGAGCCCCGCCAGGTTGGCCTGCGCGCTCTCCAGCGTCCGATCGAAGTCGGTGCTGCGGACGTACACCTGGGGGCAGGGAGGGCAGGCAAGGGGACCACAGTCACACAGGCCAACAGCCGGGGTCAGAGGTCGGCGGCAGGGGCAAACCAAAGAAGAGCTAAATCCTTTTAGCTCTTGGGAGCTTCAACTTGGGAGTCGAATGTCAGGCATCTAGAGTCAAAATATCAGGGCAGATTTGAGTGCCTGAGCTTCAGTGTTGGAAGTTGGGGTCAAGGGTCAGAGGTCAATGGCAGGAACAATCCTACTGGAAGTCAGACATTGGGTCGGCGTGTAGGATTAGGGGGGTCCGCTGAGTCAATAAAAGTCAAAAGAAAAAAGAAGTCAGAAAGGGAGATCAGAATGGATGTTGACTGGAAGCTGGAGGTCAAGATTAGGAGAGTGGGATGGAAGACATGGGGTCAGGATTCAATGCATGCCTATTGGGGTCAGAGGTCAGAGATCAGGAGGGATGATCCTAACTGGG